CAAAAACCTCCACAGTTGCCGCCATTTCAACTTTAAAAGCCTGCTCTCGATGCACCCTTTTCTCCCTGCTTTCTTGATCTAACTGAACCCTGAGGGTTTCCATACTTCAGTTGAATTTGCATGTCAAAGTTTCAGCAAAAACTTCAGCAGAAGGCAGTTAGCAGCTCTCGGCTTGAAAAAAAAAAAGAGAACAGAGAGGCTTCTTCTGCCCTGTGAATGTGTGCAGCTTCAGCACACCAGCAAAACGAAACTCGAATCTGGTTCACGCTCTTCCCTGAGAGGTCAGGGACTTCTTATCACCGAGCAGAGCGAGTTACTCGAGGACAGACGCAGACATGTTTCCTAATTGACAATTGCTCAGCTGTTTTCAACTCCTTGGTGATATGTTAAGAGCAAGATGGCAATATTTGGAGCGGGGTTACTAACTCGTTTTTTTGGAGTCCAGACCAACAACCGACAGCTGGTATTGCAAAACTAATGTGCTCAGAGCAGGAACAAAGCATGCCGTCTACACGCCCGCCCTGGGGTTGATTGACTCTTTTGATAGGCCGTCCTTGAGGTGGGACGCAGGCTGGCAGTGCCTGTCTGGGTCCCTGTAAATCAGGTCTGTCTTTCACGCTCTAAAAAGTCTTCCTTTGAAGGGCCACGCGGGGGCCAGTGGCTCTGCCTGGCACACTCTCAAAAATCACAGGCAGCGAGAGGAAGCTGTGCCACAAGCCAATTACCTGCCCCTGGATGAACACGGGGGAAAAAAGGAGGAAAATGAAAAGACAGGTGGGGAATCCGAGTGCTGTCAGAGTGGCCCATCCTCATTAACGCATAGAGTGCTGCCCCGCTGATGATGCTGATTGGACACTGGAGCAGAGGGCAGGACCACATGACACAGCAATCTCGCCCTTATACACGCCGCACAGCAGCATTATAGATGAAAGGCTAGGAAAAAAAATGTCAACACTCCCCAAAGCAGCAAGATTACTCATGATAGAACTGAAGTTGTGGTACTAAAAATGGCCACCAAAGCTCTATATATCAGTACAGCGTAATGTAGTTGTGTGGTTCTGTCAGTCAGAGAACAGGGAACGCTCAGACCAGGTAGTGCTAAAGAAGTAGCCGAAAATTGTAGATTGCAGCATTGCAGTCTTCAAAACATCACTTTGCTCTCTTTTTATTGAAAAACTCCTCAAAACTGAGGCCCCGGCCACTAGCAGTAATGTCGTAAGCCCTGGTTAGTATAGCAGGTGGTGACAGTGGCGCTTGTTTTGTTTTTTTGGCTCTAGCTCTCTTTTCTATAGCATTCCCTTTATTTTGTCTTTTTGTGCTGTGCTGAGATGTTTTCTTCTCATATTTCTGGATTACTGTAATTTAAAAAGTTTAAATGTGGCGGCCTACAAACTTTGCTGTTGCCAATGTTTTCTGCCGGCTGTGCACAGAATTAACAATCAACTTTCAAGTGTGTGATACATTGTTTCCCACAACTGTGATTTTTTTTAAAATAGATTAATATCAGATTAAAAGGTCTTTGCAGTACGGGTTTGCGCAAAATTCGAAATTTAAGAAATGGATTCATAAGTGTAAATTTGGATGGAATTGGAAATGGGAGATTTTTTAACTTTCACACATGGCTTTATTCACTAACTCTTTGCCTGCCAGGTTTTTTATTTATTTATTTATTTTTTAAGTTGCCAGCCACCGCCAGCATTTTTGATAGTTTTCATAAAACTTTCAAGGCTCCCATAATTTTGTTGTATGAATATTTGAACATGCAACATATCAAAAGAACAGGCATCTGCTTATATATATATATATATTAGAGCCGGGACTTTAACGCGTTAATTAAGATTAATTAATTACAGACTTTAACGCGTTAATTAAGATTAATTAATTACACAAAAAAAAAAATTACGCATTTTAAAATCACACTTATTTTTGCACCGCGGAACGTTTCTCACTGGATTAGTTTCGGCGGACCGATTATACTGGAGCACCAACTAGCGTTCATGACTTTTTTACAGTCTATGCTTCAGACAACAACAAACCACAGTGAACATGAACGAAGAAGCTGATGAGACCGCTTTGGTTGGCCCCGTGGATGGGAAATTTTGTTATAAAAGACAAACGGATGGAAGCGTCGATGAGAGCATGGTTGTGTGCAAGCTATGCAACAAGGAATTCGCATATCACCGCAGCACATCGACACTCAAGTTTCACCTCAACGCAAAACATATACAATTGCACTAGTCTGCTGGACTTGGTTGAACAAAAATAAACAATATTTTGTTGCTTAAGCTTATGTATTCAGTCATTATTCAATGGTATACTAAAAATCCATGGGAAAAAAATTTCTTCTCACTGTTCTCAGTTAAAATATTTATGCAACTAAAATGCGATTAATTTCGATTAATTAATTACAAAGCCTCTAATTAATTAGATTAATTTTTTAATCGAGTCCCGGCCCTAATATATATATATATATATATATATATATATATATATATATATATATATATACACACCTAAAGGATTATTAGGAACACAATACTAATCCTGTGTTTGACCCCCTTTCGCCTTCAGAACTGCCTTAATTCTACGTGGCATTGATTCAACAAGGTGCTGAAACCATTCTTTAGAAATGTTGGCCCATATTGTTTGGATAACATCTTGCAGTTGATGGAGATTTGTGGGATGCACTTCCAGGGCACAAAGCTCCCGTTCCACCACATCCCAAAGATGCTCTATTGGGTTGAGATCTGGTGACTGTGGGGGCCATTTTAGTACAGTGAACTCATTGTCATGTTCAAGAAACCAATTTGAAATGATTCGAGCTTTGTGACATGGTGCATTATCCTGCTGGAATTAGCCATCAGAGGATGGGTACATGGTGGCCATAAAGGGATGGACATGGTCAGAAACAATGCTCAGGTAGGCCGTGGCATTTAAACGATGCCCAATTGGCACTAAGGGGCCTAAAGTGTGCCAAGAAAACATCCCCCACACCATTACACCACCACCACCAGCCTGCACAGTGGTAACAAGGCATGATGGATCCATGTTCTCATTCTGTTTACGCCAAATTCTGACTCTACCATCTGAATGTCTCAACAGAAATCGAGACTCATCAGACCAGGCAACATTTTTCCAGTCTTCAACTGTCCAATTTTGGTGAGCTCTTGCAAATTGTAGCCTCTTTTTCCTATTTGTAGTGGAGATGAGTGGTACCCGGTGGGGTCTTCTGCTGTTGTAGCCCATCCGCCTCAAGGCTGTGCGTGTTGTGGCTTCACAAATGCTTTGCTGCATACCTCGGTTGTAACGAGTGGTTATTTCAGTCAAAGTTGCTCTTCTATCAGCTTGAATCAGTCGGCCCATTCTCCTCTGACCTCTAGCATCAACAAGGCATTTTCGCCCACAGGACTGCCGCATACTGGATGTTTTCCCCTTTTCACACCATTCTTTGTAAACCCTAGAAATGGTTGTGCGTGAAAATCCCAGTAACTGAGCAGATTGTGAAATACTCAGACCGGCCTGTCTGGCACCAACAACCATGCCACGCTCAAAATTGCTTAAATCGCCTTTCTTTCCCATTCTGAAATTCAGTTTGGAGTTCAGGAGATTGTCTTGACCAGGACCACACCCCTAAATGCATTGAAGCAACTGCCATGTGATTGGTTGATTAGATAATTGCATTAATGAGAACAGGTGTTCCTAATAATCCTTTAGGTGAGTGTATATATATATATATAACTTTTATTCTAGCTTCATGCACCCTTTTTTATCAACACTTGAATGTAGGTAAGTTTCATAAAAAAGCAAAATTTTGAACAAAAAACTGCGAAAATCGCAGGTTTTTTTTTTCAAAGAGTACAACATGCAAAAGCAATGCTTTTATCACTTGTTTCTGCTCCTTTTTTTCCTGTTTTCTGATCCAGAGCTTCTCTACTCTTTCAAAAGATGCGTAATAGCGCCCCCTACCATATAACAGTAAAGACACTGAAAGCCAGAAAATTCTGTCAATGGCAGGGAAAGTTACAATTCAAAGTATCGAAATTATAGAAATTATAGAAAATTCTGTCAGCAGCCATATCACCCTGTAGCCCAAGACTGGTTGCCCACTGAAGCTAAGCAGGGCTGAGCCTGGTTAGTACCTGAATGGGAGACCTTCTGAGAAAACCAGGTTGCTGCTGGAAGAGGTGTTAGTGAGGCCAGCAGGGGGTGCTCACCCTGTGGTCTGTGTGGGTCCTAACGCCCCAGTATAGTGACGGGGACACTATACTGTCAAAGAGCACTGTCCTTCGGATGAGACGTTAAACCGAGGTCCTGACTCTCTGTGGTCATTAAAAATCCCAGGATGTCTTTCGAAAGAGTAGGGGTGTAACCCCGGCATCCTGGCCAAATTTGCCCAGTGGCCTCTGTCCATCGTGGCCTCCTAATCATCCCTATATATATATATATACACTGATTGGCTTCATCACTCTGTCTCCTCTCCACCAGTAAGCTGGTGTGTGGTGAGCGTTCTGGCGCAATATGGCTGCCGTCGCATCATCCAAGTGGATGCTGCACATTGGTGGTGGTTGAGGAGATTCCCCCTTCCATGTGAAGCGCTTTGAGTGCCTAGAAAAGCGCTATATAAATGTAATGAATTAATGAATTATTGTATTTCAATCTATTTTAATTGTGATTAATTTCCCCGTTTGTTTGTTTTTTACCTCCATTCAAGCTCAACTAAAATTCAGGAATTCTCAAATCAACTCTGAATGGTGCACAGCCCTGTTGCAGTAAGCAAATAATGAAATAGAGAAATATAAAATAAATGTATAGTAGATAAAGAAATGATAAAGAAAAATAAGTAAATATATGATAAATAACTAATTATTTAAATATACAATAAATGAATAAACAAACGATAAAATACATTTATAAAATGAATGTTTTAGGTTGAGTCAAGAAATAGAAGGATGAGGGGGGAAAAAGAGAACCTGCCATTAGAGAAAAAATGCAGTACATACCTTGTTGCCAATGGCTTTTTTAGGTGGGAAATTGAACGTGTCGACTTGTGGGAATTGCGGCCGCAGGTAACTGTGCAGCGTCCTGAACTCAGTGTAGCGCCGGTATACATTCCACTCATTGTCCAGGATTCGAATGTACACCTGAAAAGATCAAATGCATAAAATGTCACTGGTTAAAGTGATAAGTATCTGATGTGATATTATACTCTTGTTAGCCTCATTATTATTTGCATCTGTGATAAGCCAGATCTCCCATGGTGCCGTAGTCAGACAGACACAAGTGACTGTGCAAAATGTGCATTGCAGGGACAACAACACAAGGAAGAGGAGAGGGATGCTATTTTCACGCCTCGCTTTCTCCTTCAGAGCAGGACAGAGGAGCCTGGCTCGATTTACCCAAGCAAGACCTCTGATCACAGAGAAGCGGCACACTTAAGTCTCTTGAACAGACAGCAGCGACTCCACCGGGGATGATGCAGAGACTGGCTTTAGTCACAGGATCTCATGAGAGGTTAGACTCTGTCAGCATGTTAGCACCTGCGAGGCCAAACTCAGGCTGTTCTGAGACTACTGGTGTCACAGAGTCAGTGCAATCACCAGCTGAAAAAAAATGCATGCAAACTAGATGTCAAAACAACTCAAATGGCCTTACTTTTTTTTTTTTCTGCCTAAGTAACTTTCAAACTGTCCTGTTCATGCAACAACGTACAGCCTGGAACAATAGTAACAGAGACAAAACTACATACAGTTCAAAAGATTTTTAAAATGTTTGTGAAAGAAGTCTCTAATGCTCATCAAGGCTGCATTTATTTGATCAAATCTATAATATTAAAATATTGAAAATAACGGTTTACTATTTGAATATATTTTAAAATGTAATTTATTCCAGTGATGCAAAGCTGAATTTTCAGCAGCCCTGATCTTCAGTGTCACATGATCCTTCAGAAATTATTGAAATATTACAATTTTGTGCTCAAGAAACATTTCTTATTATTTTCAATGCTGAAAACAGTTGTGCTCCTTAATGTTTTTGTGGAAACAAGCAAAACATTGTTTTCAGGATTCTTTGATAAATGGAATTTATTTGAAACAGGAGTCGTGTCTCTACTGTCACTTTTGATCCATTTAATGCGTCACTGTCATATAATTGATATGATGTTATATGACGTAAACTTTTCCATATGAACTACAAACGAGAGGTAATTCCTCACATGATGCAGAATTTGGGTCATGCTAACACCACACATAGCCAAATAGGTTAATGAAAAACAATCCATGAGATCCATGATCCAGTACAATAACTAAAGGGTCCCTGCTCTGGCCCATAGTGCACTGGGAGAACAGACATGTGAAAAGCGAAATGACTGTAAAAATCACATTAGCAGGTCTTGGGTGCTGAAGATGAGAGTGAGCAGAATAACAAATAAGGCTTAGTCACAAGCAGCAGCCCATTACAGTTTCCCTCATAGTCATTATCTTTAATAGCTTGTGCTTTGTTTGAGTTCAGTCTGGTTTGGCGCGTTCATGAATATAGGATGTTGATGCTTTATAAAGTTTAATTTAATTCTCTTTACAAATTAGCTCGATAGCAACTGCTTTATGCAAATCTTATTTATGATTAAACCTTGAAATTCTCTAAACATATTAATCAGGAGGATATTTCAAAGAAGATGCCACAATTCTATTAAGACACACAGAATGATGAACACATTGAACCACACATACACGCACACACAAGAGGGGTTTTATGGCCTTAACTAAAGGAAATCAAAATGACAAACTGACGGTGTATTAAAGCTATCATAATCCCATAGAGGCGGTCTCATTAGCATACATATTTATGGCAACAAATCATCCTCTAAAGAGCGATCACTTCCCCCTCAATAATCGCAAATTAATTAGACGAAAAAGTTGTTTGAGGAAATCCAGCTCTCACTGAAAACTCTTTTTTGACAAAAATAAAACCAACCTCAATTAAAATGAAAGCTCATGGCAAGATGTCAAGAAATTCTGGAATTAGCCCAATCAAGCAAAACAACATCCTCAAAAATAAAGTGGCAAGTGTTAAGAAATTTTTAATTGAATTTCACCTGCAGTTCACTTAATATTCATTCAATAATTACAATCTAGATTTAGATGTTTAAAAAAAAGCGAGAGGCAAAACTCTCTGACGTGTAACTCAAGTGTTCTGGGCCATTTCCAGCCTTTTTGTTATACAGTTGCTAAAATGTTCGGAGCTGATAAAAGTCATCATGAAATAAAAACAAATTCATGGAATATTGCAGTGTTATTTAAAAATTATAAATTAAATGATTTATCTGTGCACACCATTATTTTTTTTTAAATAATGTGCCCTTGTAATCTTTAATCAAAATAACTTCCCCTCCCTCTTGCAATGGACTCTTCTCTTCTCAAATTGTCACTCACATGAGATCACAGCAACAATAGCAATCAATTCCTGATCCAATAAATTCCCGATGGACAAAATCAAGCCCCGTCCTACATTTGTTCTTGTTCGAGAAGCTGTTTCACTTGGATATACGTCACAATAGGGAAAAAGACGCATCTTCCATTTCATGCCGACATTAAGCACACTGCTCAAGTGTTCTGGCTAGTGTTATCCTAGTTGCTAAGGTGTTGCTATCTGGTTGTCTTTCCCGCATAGTAACTCCCAGTCAAAAAGTAATATCAAGTAAATAGGAAATATGGGAAAATTAAAAACGACTACATTAATCAGCTATCATTAATCTAGTACTGTAATAGCAGAGTGGATGATTTATAACAATCTGCGTCTAGTCTATTCATTTGGGCATTACTGTAATATGGAGGAAATGTCCATTAGACTTATGTACCTTTGCAGATTTTTATTACCTCCACTATGGACAGTATAATGGAAAAGTCATTTATCTTTGTTGAGAAACAATGAAAGGAGAAAGAAAAGAACAGCCAGTGTATGATTCATACTAAAAGCAAATGTCAGCCTGGGGGAGGATGCTAATATTTATCCCAGCTATAAATGGCATTTACAATATCTCATAATATCCATATTGAGAGAAGTAGTGTTCCTTACAGAGATTTACCAGTGACACACACATAAAAAATGCATCGTTGTTTCAGCTCAGATGCACCACACCATATGTATAGGTGTTGTAGCAGCGGGCAAGCAAGCAATCTTGTCTGAAGATGAAATGCAGCAAATTAATGTTGGTTTGGATGTAGCATGTCTAATTGGAGGTTCCCAGCTGTGGTAAAAGCTGTGGTTTGACCCCTTCTATTTCCGGTGGAATCATATATGGTGGCCTCCCCCTCATCCCATGGAGAGCCAAACCCTCTTTCTACCTATAGAGACTCCACACACTCTCTACTGAGCCATTCAGCATAACTACAGTTGTCAGTGCACAAATCACTGGCTGCCCGAGTGCCGAGGTCACTTCCTGCTGAGGGCTCCCCGGAGAGATTTGTCTTTTAGTCGATCCTAGAATTATGTGCATTATTCTAATTTGCCCAATAAGGGGTATTTTGTGCAGAAATGGAAATGCACAAACCACCCGCAGGGTTCATTTCACCCATTTTCCATCAACTAGCTTCAAACTTTCCATCCATGATGCTCCTCTAACTGGCCTCTACGCATATCTAACTGATAGTTAAGCAATATCACAGGAGTGAATGTGCTATTGTATTTAATACTAGTGTGGCTGTGAATCAGCCACAGGCACCAGTTATCTTTAGAGTGGGGCAACAAGTAATGTTGGGAGGTTTTCTACAAAAGTAACAGATATTCATTACAACAGCAAGGTTGTGAGTTTGATCTAGTGGGATCTGTGATGCTACTGACCTTTAAGACCCTACTATAAAGTGTTTAGCTCCTGAGTATTTAACCAATCTTCTATCGCCCTACAATCCATCACGCTCTTTAAAGGCAGGGTAGGGGATTTGTTCCGAAAACATTTTTTATGCTAGTTCTTCTAGTCTCTTTACATCCTGATAGCAATCACTAAGTTAAGTGGTCTAAATGTATATATACTGTATATATGTATATATTTAGTTTGTGGAAGACTTAGGACCATAAAATGTTCGTCCAATCAACCAATGAATTTGCAGCAGTCAGATGGTACAGGTCAGTGTTCAAGTTGTTTGTTCATTATTATTGTAATGTTATGTGCTTTGAGACATGAGGTAGTTTAACGCAGTCTCTTGTGATGCTTTTGTTTGCTCCCTGCTGTATGCATTCATGTGTTTTGAAGGAGGCGTGGCTTTGGAGACGCTCTGAAGGGAGGATAGGATTTTATGCTTTCAAAGCTAGCTCGCTAATGCTAGCCTCTCCGAAAAATTGCGTTCCCTACCTTTAAGGTCACAAAAACCTGGACTTTTGGTAGTATCTAGGATATCTAAGTCCACTAAAGGAGGGACAGCATTTGCACATTTGGCTCCTTAACTCTGGAATAACCTCCTGATAATGTTCGAGGCTCAGACTCACTCTCCCAGTTTAAAACTAGATTAAAGACATCTCTTTACCCAAGCATTCCATAATGCATTTCATAACCTTGCACTCCAGTTATATCAGATTAAATGTGCATGACTATGTATTGCTTGAAACGTTATGAACAGCAGCTACACTAATTTTTTTTCCATTTACTTTTCTGTTTTATCTCAGGATGTCCATCCCAAGGTAACTAGAAATTATGCAAGCTCCAGTTTGGATCCAGCCTCTTACAAAGATTTCAGATGACCCAACACCAATGAAGAGATGACGACAACCCCTGCCAGGACTTCAGATGTTCTATTTATTGTAATAATTACGATCACAACTTAATCACTGCTTTAATGAACTCATTGTTTGTGTCTAAATGAATACATGATATTAGCTAAATGCATGATTTGTATTATTACATTTTTGACAAATGGACATTACTTTGAGACAGTCACCTCTGATAACATATTTCTCTAAATTGTAACATAGAAACCTGCCTTTTCTGTAAAGCTGCTTTGAAATATGTATTGTAAAAAGCGCTAAACAAATAAATTTGAATTGGTCTTGCTTTTCTACAACAGTTCAGTAGAAAAGTGTACTTTCTATTAATATGTTCTATTACTAATATATTAAACATGTTACATGTATTAACTATAGTAATGGCAGTAAA